GCGTAACGTAAATTAGTCTAGCGCGTAATTTATATTACGAAAAATTAGATCACTGATCATCCGGGTCACCCGGGTCACCCGGGTCAAGGAAAAACGTGACCCGAACCTGACGGGTTTTATCGAATTAGGACTCGTGTCATAAAAATGATAAACCCGACTCGAGAAATAATTCAAGTCGGGTCGATCAACCCAGGTCGACTCAACCGGCTCGGAGCACTAGTTACGAATTAGTTAATTATGAATGTCATGTTAAATATGTATGCTAGAATAAATATATAACATTTCGGTCCTATATTCGTAATATCATACATAGTGATTAGATTATTTATAATTATTATTTTTTATTTTATTCGTTTTATTTATTATTTTCGCTATGTTCATTATATGGTTAAAGCAAGAATTGAGAACTTTTGCATAAAACCCCAACATAGGTTGAGAAAACTTCCGAAATTCTATAATTAAATAAAATTTTAACTTACCTTTAAAATGGTTATCGTGCCTTCATATAGACTATGACTGTAATAACCAACTACAAAAGAAAAAAATTACTTAGGATGGGCTTGTTAATTTGTAAATCTGACCAATCCGGCGATCATCCGCGGAATCCGAAGTATTGAATTTTTTTTTTGATCTGTCTTTTTGATCAGATCGGATTCATTCGGATCCTCTAATGTCCAGGGTGTTAAATTGCTTTTTGATATTAACAGCACAAATAAGTTTCAATGGATGGCAAATTTGTTGTAAATTTTGGTTATCATAAAATATTTTGAATATTTTATTTAAATCATGCATAACGGAAAAGTGAAAATCTAGATCAAGTTAAATATATTTAATACTTTATAAAACTAGAAATATGAATATACTATAATATTTACATAAAAATGAATTATTCTTGAAGCAAGTCTATATTTAATTTTTTGACAAATTCAACTGCTTTAGGAAAATTTCGTAAGGCTACACCCTTAATATAGTTAATACCAACCACCTCATTTTTTCAAATTTTAACTTTCCATTATAGTGTGTATCGCCTAAATGCCACATAGTTGCAGGTTCATCCTTATTAATAGCCATATTTAAATATTTGATAAACTTATCCCTTTTTTCCTTATTGATAAGAAAATCATCATCATTTGTAAGAGAAATTGCATAGTGTACTTGTGCTTTCGCATAACTCCGATCAGCAGTATCTTGAAATAATTGTTTAGCTAACTTTTCATTCTTTTCAGTATCCAATACATAAACACCTTTCCAATAAATAGCGCTCAGGTTGTCAAGTTCCGCATGTTTACTAAAATATTCCTAAGCCTTTTGCATTTCTTTGTTTTTATATGCAATAATTCCCTCATTTAAGGGAATAATAGGATGAATTGCAGGATTTTTAAAATCATCTGATCTAAGTTGATTGCCATAATCTTTAGAATTTATCATCTCAGGAGTTGTAGAGTCATCATTCTTTGGATTAAACCCTTCTTTAATGTATTTTTCATATAAGTTTTCCAAGTCTACAAGCATACATTAGAAGTTTGGACGATTAATAGGATTTTCATCCCAAACTAAATAGTAATATTTATAGCATTTAGTAAATTTGATCTTATAATGTTATTAGAAAGAAGATATTATAATTACCTTTTTTAATAATTTGTCTAAAACCGTTGAGAATATCTGATGTCCCGAAATCATAATCTAAAGTTTCTCTGTTACCGTTTGTGACATAATCTTTAATAGATTGATTATCAATTTTATGATATGGAATATCTTGAAAAGCAAGTCCCCAAAGCAACATGCCAAAACTATAAACAATTATTTATCTTAGCAATTGCATTAATGAATATTAAAGCAAATAAGCAAGTTAAAATTACTATGTGAATAATTACCTAAAAACTTCACATTTATGAGTATAAGGCTTATCACGCATCTTCTCTGGGGCCATCCAAGGATACATTTCCATTGGACTCTTGATCCGAGTTGTTTCTTGACATGTCATACGGTAATGTTCGAAATTCGTTATCTTTGGTTCTAATCTTTCGGTCAGCTTGTAAGTTGATCATACATTAGTCAGTATATATATATACTCATTCTTTTTCTCATAATAATTAAAGGTGTAAGAATTACCAAAATGTTTTCACAACGAACGTCATGATGGAAAATTCCCATAAAACATAAAACATTGAGCCCGCGGCAAATATCATGTGCAATTTGAAGTTTAGATTTCCATGAATAATGATCATTTTTTTTAAATTTATTTTCATAATATTCTTTCAAACTTCCTTCATCAGCCCAATCATAGACCAAAATATTTTCTCTGTCCACGTGCGAAATACCATGAAAATTGATGACATATTTGCATGTTTGTAATTCTTTTAGTATGTAAAGCCGGCCTGCTTGTTTATGAAATTCTCATGAATTATCATCAGATAAAATATCACATGATTTACAGGCAACGTCCATTTGCTTATAAACTTTTTTCACCACTTTTCTATGAGAGTTTCCTTTGCTGGGATCAGTGATACTTTGCGCTTCGATTCTTGAAGCTTTAAATGTGTTCAAACATTCATATTTGGAATCATTGTTGAGTTCCTCGCTCACAATAGTAATCTTTTGCACTTGTTCAGCTGTTGATTCTATATAATTTAATATTTTTTCTATATACTGCAAAAATTGAAAAACGTATTGATTGTACTTACTCGCTAGTTTGAAATTATTGATGTTGATTAAAATAAATACCTGTTACATATTATAAAGATCATTTTCGATCTTTTCATCTTCATCCGCTTTATCAATAAACTGATTAACAGCAATTGAAAACTGGAGATCATTTATTGCATCGTTAATCATTTCTTAGTTTATCAATATTATCCTTGATATCAGTTACGTTAAATAACATCTTTCTTGAATTCATTTGAGTAGAGGTTAGAACCGGTTTTAATTTTAGAAACCGGTTTTATTCATGTTATGAAAATTAGAACCAGTTATATATCAGTTGAATCGATAAATCGATAAACCGGTTAAAACTGATAAATGATAAAATGAGAAACTGATAAACCGATTATCGATATATTTTTTCGGCTCGTCGTTAGTTTTTTGTAACAT